CACTCACCTCAGCCTCCCAAAGGCGTGGGATTACAGGCCGAGCCACCGAGCCCGGCTTCTAAGGATTCTTTGTAGCAGATAGATTCATGTCCCAACCTTATAATTTGCCCCACTGACAACATGAATCTTAAAATTTAAGATCCTAAAAAATTTTATGTTGCACCAAAGTCAGACTTTAAGATGTGGCAATTTGAGCAGTCAACATTAAGAAAACTGTTCAGACTTTGTGACTACATTTTATCCTGAACACTTGTTTTGGCATATTTCATTTTCTGTTCTGGCTGTTCCTATGCATTAACCTCTGGTGTGTGTCACTGAGAAGCTCTTAGTAGCAATGTCTGAATGAAACAACAAAAGTAATAGGAGCAAGCTTTCAAAAATAATTTGGTGTCCCTCCCTAACAAGGAGAACAAAACTGCCCACCTCTGTTTTTCATTTGCTCCAGATCTTCTCATAATGGTTCCCATTTGGTTAGGGGTTTCCTATCAATTTGCTCTAAAACAGACACAACCTGATATAAAGATTATGCACACTTACTTGGATTGATTGACATCAATAAGGGAACCAATTTTTGATGTTGTGAAAGAAATGTGTTCATCTCCAATGACAATTTCAAGCTCCTAGAAACATTTAAAAAATGTAAGATCAGTGGAACTGGATTATTCATCAAGCATACAGGAGGTTCATCATTTGACAGATCACACAAACTACTACAGATGGCTCTGAGCACTAAACTCCTGGGCAACAGAAACAAAATGATAAACACTGGCTTAGACTCTGAGAAGCTCAAACTCTTAGAGGAAGTTGTATCCTCAAGACTCTACCATTTCTGAGACATAGAAGAATTTACACAGTGTTTTGTATATACATATTCATTGTTAACAACATGAAATAACATGGATAGATCTGTATTTTTAAAATACCAAAGGATCTAACCTTACTGGACAACATGGGACCTTCGTTTGATCCTAGCTTTGTCAATTCCTACCTGTAAGACCTTGGGTCTCAATTTCTAAATAGTTACATGAGTACCATAAACCTTCAAAATATACCTGGGGGCAGGGGGGATCCTACAGTGTGCCAGGTATTGTTCTTAGTGCTTGGAACAGATCAGTAAAACCAAATGAAATCTCTGCCCTGTAGAATGAGCCCTATTTATGCCTTCTTTTTTCCTATTTCTTTATTTACATTTTTCAATTAGAATTCAAACAAAATAAACAGACCAATATTCCCAATACCCAGATTTGAAGAATGTTAGTATTTTGTGATACTTGTGTCCGATTTTTTTTGGGGGGAGGGTGTTTCACTCTGTTGCCCAGGCTGGAGTGCAGTGGCATGATCACAGCTCACCACAGCCTCAACCTCTTGGGCTCAGGTCCTGGGGATCCCATCTCAGTCTCCCAAGCAGCTGGGACTACAGATGGACACCACCACGCCTGGCTGATGTTTTTATTTTTTTGTAGAGACAGGGTCTAGCTATGTTGTCTAGGTTGGTCTGGAATGCCTAGGCTCAAGCAATCCTCTTGCCTCAGTCTCCCAAAGCACTAGGTTTACAGGTGTAAGATACCATGCCCAGCCAGATTAAAAAAAAAAATCAAAGTTTGTGTCCACCTCCCATTCTGTTCTCCTTCCTGTATCCTCTGAAGTTGGGATATATTCATTCTACTCACGTTTTTAGATTTGGTAGTATGTTTTGAAAAGTTTCACATAAATGGTAATACTATATATATCTTTTTGCTTTTTTTTTTTTTTAGTTGGAGTCTCAGTCTGTCGCCCAGGCTGGAGTGCAATGGCATGCTCATGGTCACTGCAGCCTCAAACTACTGGGTTCAGGCAATCCTTCTGCCTCAGCCTTCCAAGTAGCTGGAACTACAGGTGTGTACCACCATGCCTGGCTAATGTTTTTATTTATTGTAGAGACGAGGTCTTACCATGTTGTCTCGGCTGGTCTCAAACTCCTGGGCTTGGACAATCCTCACGCCTCAGCCTCCCAGAGTGCTGGGATTATAGTTATGAGCCACCACACCTGGCTGCTTTTTTCATTCAACATTGTTTTGAGATTTATCCATGTTGAATTACATAGATCTAGTTCACCTAGTTTTAAATGCTTTAGAGCATTCTATTTCCCTATTGAAATAGAGTTAAGTTCCGAATTTCTGCTACTATAACCAATGTGGCAAGAATAGTCTTCTATGCATCTCCCTGTACTTTTGTGAAAATTTCTAGAGAGAGAATATTTTAAATTGCTCCCTAATTTTATTCCCACTTTTTGAACTCCTTATTTTTCATATTTTAAGCCTGGTGGGTTTTCTTTGTTGTTATTCTAATAGATATGAAATGGCATCTCACTTTTGTACTAGTTTTCATTTTTAAATGAAGGTGTAAAACTTTTCATGTTTACTGGCCACCTGTTTGACTCTATTCATAACCTTTGCAGAGTCTGCCACTGGGTTGTTTGTTAGTTTGTAGTTATTCTGGATAGAAACTCCTTGCCAGTTATATGTTTTGCAGATATTTTCTTCCAGTCTGTGGCTTATCTTTTAACTTTATCTTGCTGTCTTTTGTCAAACAGAAGTTTTAGATTTAAAGAAGTCAAATATACTAATCTATTCCCTTAAGGAGTTTTAGAAACTCCTTCTCTACCCAGAAATAATAAAAGATAGATTATATCTTCTATGATTTAAATTTTTACTGTACTTCTATAAACAGTCTAATTTTTAAATATTCCATATACTATCAGTCTTCTTGGTACAATTTGTTAACCAATTCATCTATTCCTCATTAATTTGAAAAGTCCACCCTGTAATATGCTATTCCAAGTGTCCACATATTCATTGGGTTGTTTCTGGGCTCATTTCTGTTCCATTGGTTTAGCTGTCAATTCCTGAAGCAATACCACACTACAAATGACTATAGCTTTACAAGAAATCTTCAGCATTATCTTGGCTACTCTTGCTCCCTTGATCATCTACGAATTTTATGCTCATTCTGTTGGGTTCTAGAAAAATATTCCTACTGTAATTTTTATTAGAATTAGAGTAAATTTATAAATTACTTTGTTGAAAACAATCATCCTAGCTGGGCTCGATGGCTCAGTCTGTAATCCCGCGCCTTGGGAGGCTGAGGTGAGTGGATTGCTTGAGCCCGTGGGTTTGAGACCCGCCTGGGCAACTTGGTAAACGCTTATCTCTACAATAAAAAAAAAAAATTAGCCGGGTATGGTAGCACGTGCCTGTAGTTCCAGCTACTTGGAAGGCTGAGGTGGAAGGATCGCCGGAGCCCAGCAGGTCGAGGCTGCAGTGGCCGGAAGCGGCCACTGCACTCCAGTCTGGGTGACAGAGTGAGACTCCAACTCAAAAAAAACAAACAAACAAAAAAAAAGAGGGAGGCCAGGCGCAGTGGTTGATGCCTGTAATCCCAGCACTTTGGGATGCCAAGGCAAGAGGATCGCTTGAGCCCAGGAGTTTGAGACCAGCTTGGGCAACATATTTTTTTTATATTAAAAAATAAAAAAGGGGAGGGAATAACATTCTAGGTATAAGGAACCTCATGTGTGAAGGCACTGGAACATGAAACCAGATGATGTGTTTAGGGTCAATAAATAATTTGGGATGAGGTGCAGAGTGTGTATGGGAGGGGAAGAGACCAAGCTGGAAAGGCAGGCTGGGGCAGGTAACAGCAGGGTTTGCAGACAAAGGCAAGAAACTTACTGTTGACACTTTACTATATACTGACACTACTTAAGTCACTAGAGGTACAATAGTGAAAAAAATTGGTCATATCCTTGTATTAAGTAAACCTGCATTTGTGTATATGTCTGTTTTGGTGAGGGAAGGAGGGCGACAGGTAAGAAAAGCAAGAAAGATAATTTTAGACAATAATAAATGCTATGAAGACAATAAAGCAGATCTTACTTTTAAAAATGATGGGAGAAGCTTCTTAGATTGAATGGACAGGCAAGACATCACTGAGGAAGTGATTTTTGAAGACCTCAATAATAAAGGCAGTGTTGTACAGAGTTAAATGAAGAATATTCTAGGCAGGATATGACAAGTGCAAAGGCCCTAAAGTAAGAAACACCTAAGTGTGTCTGAGGAACAGAAATGAGGCTAGCAAGGATTGAACACAGTGAGAAATTGTGACGCTGGTAAATGGTAGGATGGGAGTTTGGATTTTATTTCAAGTGCAGTGAGAAGTCACTAGGAGATTTAAATCAGTGTAATGAATACATAAACAAATTTACATTTTTAAGATCACATTGGCTTCAGGATGGAGAATCGATGGTATGGAACAAGAGGAGAAACAAGAAAATCAACTAGAAGTCTGGATTAGCATGGTAGCAGTCAAGGTGGAAATATCTTTTATGCTAATCCTGTCAAACATGACAGTGGCTTTTATTTTTTAACTTCCAAAATGATCTTCAGAATGAATATATAAACGATGAATTTAAAAACATATAGTTGCTTGTCCGATATTGTTTATGTTTACATTCCCACAGTGGTTTGCCCACAGTAGTTACTCAGTAAGTGAGGTGGGCAGCAAAAGCTTTGAGAAGAGACAAGTCATAAAAAGAAATTTATGGCTGAGCTCTTGGTGGCAAGCTGCACCACTTGCTCCCTTTGTTCCTCCCTAAGGGACTAATGCTTCCTTAGGCCAAGGTGCTGGTAATCTGCTTTGTAGGGCTCAATAGCACACATATAAGTGTGTGCCACATGTAGAGCAGTAAACATCATCTTTTTAACTTTATTTTACTTTATTTTATTTTTGAGTCAGAGTCTTACTCTGTCACCCAGGCTGGAGTGCAGTGGCATGCTCATGGCCACCACAGCCTCTACCTGCTGGGTTCAGGTGATCCTTC